TTAATAAATAGCAGAGAGTACATTACAATAATTGGTTGTGCATTAGCTTTATGATTTATTTAGATTTTTGTGTATGGTCTCTCACATCAATTGTGAACTAATCCTCTGCAGCTTGTCATGTGTAGTGGCCGGCTGTACTGTACCATGATGAGCCTCATTATACATTAATCACTTGTCATGTGTCGGGGCTTTGACAAATGCGGCCCGGTGACCTTGCAGTGACGGCTGTGTAATATGAGTAATGCCCCTGTCTTGATATGAGGCAGCACCTCTCAGATCTGCCGCTGGGATGTGATCACGCTGCAGGCTTGAACTCGATCCAAGCTCCAGGTCAGCTGGTGTCCTGCTTATCTGTCATAATTGGGTCTGGTTCTCCGCAGCTGGTTTCCAAGCCAGCGGATTCAATAATCAGAGAGGGATAAGTGCATATCACACTTAATAAAGTTACCAATAAAGCTATGTTGTGTGATTTCAGGGAACTCACAATTCAGCAAACTACTTACAAGCAGCAGCAAATGATGGTACAAAATGTCTGTCTTTTTCATTCAGTTACACTTGGGGAGGGATTTTCTGTGCTTCTACTGTTGGCAGTGGTTTGTGTGCACCTGCCTGCATTCACCTCCTGGTGGTGCAGTGGCAGATGGTGCAAAAATAACACAAAGCTCATTCAGGACACCCAAACTTTGGGAGGAAGGCAGCTGTTTAGATTGATGACGACGACTGAAAATTAAGGATTTTCTGGTCTCTCACATTAAAATGCTGCTTGCTGGCATAATGCGGAACCTTGACGTTCAGCCCGGGATGATTTGGATGAGTCCCTGTGTTGCATTGCTTTCTCTCTGTGGGGATTGACAGGCGCACCGGAACACTTATAAAACACCCACCGGAACAACACTTTAGGACTAACACCCACTGTCATTTCCTCACGTTCCACACGAAAGCAAAAAAGCATCAGATAAAGACATGCTGCAATGTGACGTATAAGATTGGATTTCAGAGGATTTTATGTGATAAGTCCCTCCATAAAGCGTGTTTATTTTCTTACAGTCCATGTTTGCTACAACACGGCGCTTTAAGCCAGATGTGTGAAGAAGAACAGATTGTGTTGAAAGGAAATACCCAGTTATGAAAGCACTGAGAGGGATACACACACGCTTACAGCTGTGTGATAACCTCAGTGTGAGAACCTACTAGAACTAAAAATCTGCTGAAGAAAACATCATTATGTAGCAACACTGTATTATCCTCTGCAGAGCTCTCTGCTGAGGGATACAACATAAATAAACCATATGCTGTAGGGACTGGAAGTGGGCCAATAGTGGATTACATTTTGCGTTGTGAATGAAATCAGTAAATAATGATTCAACACCACCTTGATATGTTGTTGCACAGAGAGGGTATCACACATTGTCAGCATATCTCTGTGTTAAACAATACATCATTCGGTCGTAAATGAAGAGGAAAATATAACACTTTTTCAATAAGTGAATCCGGAATCAGTGTATGTATTTCATGCATTGTAAAACACAGTTCACAGCCACATTTATATCACGTTATCCATTTATCCATATTTATGGTCAATGATGGAAGGTTTATGTCCCTTATGTACATGATCTATGATATATTTTAATAAGGACATGTCCCTATACAGTTCGTTCTCGCAGTAAAGTTGTGTTTGTTACTCTATAATTGTAGTTCCCTAGTGTGTGATACTGTGGTATAACAATTTCATGTCGACCTGTATCGTTTTCTAGTTGTACCAAGCCTACTTGCACGGATCACATAAATATATGATCGCTACGTGTATGTAACCCTGTGGTTTTCTTTGCAGATGAGAGACACGGCACCCTCAGGCTGAGCAACCTCACTAAAAGCATGTCAGGGAAATACATCTGCAGAGCCATCAACACGGCGGGCTCCGACAGCTGCTCCATTAACCTGGAGGTTATCACCTGTACGTACAGAACACAGTATGCCTACTACACCACACACCAGGCACTGTGTGTCTGAACACTGATCTGTCATCTGTTTCCCAGCTTCCAATGCAGGAATGATTGCAGCTGCTACACTGGGGTCCATAGTGGGACTGGTGGCCATGGTGCTCTTCCTCATATTCATACTGAAAAGGAGAAAGGACACTGAGGAGGAGATGGCCAACGAGATCAAGTGAGACATTTAATACAGCATGTACAAGCTGAAGCTATCCATTACAACACCCCCTTTATACATTCCACATACAGAAAGTGTATATGCTTTGTACTATACTTTTTTACATGCAATAAGGAAGGAAGAGGCTGTACTCATATTCAATCTTTTTATTCATTTAAAGTGGACCTATCATGCTATATTTGAATAATATATTGTAGGGCCATACCTATATAAGGTATATTTATCAGTTTTCTTTTTCAAAATACCAAACAGATCATACATTTTAGCCATGCCTCATTTCGCTCTATTTTGCTCTCCTCCACCCCTGTCTTTGCATGCGCTGCAGCTGACCACGCCCCCCTGCAAAGGAGGGGCCGAGTTACGAGCGTCATGTTACCATGCTGTTACCATGCCACGGCAACCTCTCATTCCCCTGATAGGTGGAGAGTTGGCCATATAGGCGGAGCTCCTCCGTCCTGACGTCAGAGAAATGTTCAAATCTGTATCAGTCTGTATCAGATCCGTTGCAGCCCCGTTTTTAGAGATTTGGGTATGGAGGAAAAGAGAGAGGGTTGTGTTTTCTGACACTTGGTGAGTTCCCTGGAACACCGGGGACACATATTCATGTATAAAAGACGTACAAAAGTGCATTTTTCATGATAGGTCCCCTTTAACATATAACCACTAAATAATTAAGTAGGGCGAGCACTCACTCAGTTTTTCCTTGCATTTTTCCAAAAGCAACAGTCTATGCCTCTGCATTTAATAATTATGACATTGAGTTAGTGCGAGTAAATGCAATGCAATACTTTATTCTGGATTCAATGCCACTTGAATTTCTATTGCACTGTGTTTCAAAAGGATATGATCAAATGTTTTACACGTCTATTCTAATCTGGAAGCTATAGTCCTATATCATCAAATAAGATTTAATGTACAAAAAGTGCTTGTATAAGTTGCTCCACCATGACCAGCTAAACATAAAATACCATGTTAATAATTTTTACACTATATAGGTTTATAATATTATTACACTAAAGCCTCCTAATAAGTACTTTGCTTCTAATAGCTCATTTTGATATCAATGCATTTACAATTAAATGTACATTTTGTTACTTTAATATTATTAAAAGTGAAATTTCACACAATGTTTGTATTTGCAATACATGCTGTCTCAGAAGATATAGGTCATCTATATTTTCGCAATACACACAGTTTTGCCAGTACTCAGAAAACAGTGAAGCTGAATGTGTGTTGCCCTATTTCCTACCTGTAATTTTTTATATTAGTAATTCTAATAATTATGAGTTTTTGCTTTCTCTGCGTTCCTCTCAACCTCTCTTCTTTCTTCCTGTTACAGGGAGGATGCTCAGGCACCAAAGAGAGTATCATGGGCGAAGAGTAACACCGGCTCTGACATCATATCCAAGAACGGCACGCTGTCCTCCATAGCCACCAGTCCTCGACCCCGAGACCCCCGCCATCCTAACTACAACTACCCATACTCCCCGGCGTCCACATCAGACACCGGCTCAGTTATCCACGCCTACCAGCTGCGACCTGGAGAAGCCAACACACTGCAGGGTCTCCCGGGGTACAACAGCGGAGGAACCCCACGCAAACATAAGAGACCCCGCAGCACAAATGGGGACCCTGCGCAGCTTCTGAGGAGCCCTGCGGTCGCCAACAGGACTGAGGGGGCTCAGCCTCAGGTGCCCCCTCCCCTCGCTGTGTCCCCACAAATGAGCTGCTCCACTCTGACACGCCTGGGCTCTGTAGCCATCATGGTGCCCGCGCAGAGCCAGGCCGGGTCGCTGGTGTAGGCCGGCCGGAGGACAGGGGTTAGGGGGGAGAGAAAGTATGCCTTGAAACTCAAAAGCACTTTCTCTGTGAAGACTTATAAGGATGTGAGAGAAGAAAACGTCCCGCAGGTCCCTTTGGTTGTTCATTTCTTTTTGTAAGAAATATATTTTTTATTTACTCTTAAGAGATCTTTAATGATACCCAGTAGCATTAGGATTTGTAGGCAGTGTACATAAAAGGCCAATGTTTTCAAGAGAGTTGTTGACTTACTACAGTTTATGGATACTGTAAACCATGTTTCAGTTCATTTGGCAGTTTGCTTAGAGTTTTGCAGTTCTTGCTAAATATATGCTGGCCAAATTTGTGTAATAACTGTAGCCATACAAGTGTATGATTTCATTTCTACAGCTGTGTAAAGATGCATTTTCAGTCCCTTCTCTCAGGCTAAAGGCACTATGTCAAAATCACAATTCAGGTATTTCAAATGTATCATTCTTGCTTTCTTTGAACCACATGTACGTGTTATGTGTTCACGTAAGTGTCGTTTTATTTAACCTACTGCAATATCAGTATGGTTCAATGACACTGATGTCTGCTGGGAGGACATTTTTCATTATTTGCCTGTTATGGTAGTTGGAATGTAACCAAAATAGTGAGTACAACATGTTGAAGTTGATGGTTTCTTACTATTCTGTTCAAAGGTGCTTGTTTTAACTTGATATAATTACTGTAAACACACAAGGCCACCAGTCAGTGAGATAATATGACCAAACTTCCGGCTGTTGGTCTTGTTTGTTTTCTTGTAAGTATAATGTAGCTCTGAAAAAAGATGTGGCACTAAGCTATGCTGAGGGTTACATGTAGCACTTTTACTGCAGTTTTGATTGTTGGTCATTTTTTTCAATAAAGTGTTCTGGAGTGTTTGATTTTAGTATGACTCACCATAATCACTTTACCTATAAATATACTTTTACTAATGCAAAATAAATCACGTTTAATGACATGAAATGTAAATAATACCTAGTTAAGTTTGCCAATAAAAAGGCTGATTCCTTTTTCTGTAAACTGAGATTATTTTATTTGGAGTGTAATCAGCAGACATAATTTGAAATATGACAATACATAGCCCATAATACCCAACCCACTGTGGCATTTCAAACGTCATGGATGGGTAACAATTCAGTAACCTTGACTATAAAGGAGATCTAAAAGGCCACTTAAGGCACAGAGATGCTGAGACTGCAAGTAATATACATCTGTGATATCCAGTGCAAAAAAACACAATTTTATCACTGTTTGTTAAATCCTTTTAAAAATAGGAAAAAAATCCAAACTTGTCACAAATTGTGTGAATCTGTAGTAAGGAGCAGCTTTCTTTTTTTTTATTAAAGAAAAACAAGATTACAATATATCCACACTAGCAGCTTTGCAGAACATATTTCGGTTAAAAATCAAAACAAAACAATTTTTTTAACTATTCTTAGAACATTACATCTATTAGAGGTGGTGTCTGTGACCATGTGGTGTAGTTACCAGCACGTTGGCAGCAAGGTGATTCCAATATCAATCCACCAACTATTAAAGGGATTCACAGGATATTTTATACATGACGCAAACAGGATTAATGCTACTGAATTTGGTGATCCAATGATTTCTCTAGCACTGCCATCAGGTTGAAATGTTTGGTAAAGTATGTCATGGTCCCTTCAGGTCTGAAACAACTTGTGATCCCTTACATTTTCACCCAGCACCACCATCAGGTCAAGTTTTTACTTTTTTCTAGGACCAAATACTTGCAGTTCGTGTGGGATTCCTATAAGTAACACATGTTAGCATGCTAACAGGCTAAGCTAAGATGGTGAACGGGGTAAACTACAAACCTGCAAAACATCAGCATCACTGCAGAGCTAGCATGGCTGCACATCCTTGGTGTTCTTTCTGTCAAACATTGTTATTGTTCATTAGTTGCGGTCTGTACTTAAATAAAATATGCTTTGTCTTTTTAAATTGTACATAACTTCAGCTTTGTTTTGAGTTGAATGCTAAGGTTTGTATGTTAGTGTAATGTGCCATTATTCAGCATTTTGTATATGCTGTACAGTATAAGCATTTCTTTAAAATGATAGCCTGTAATTTATTTATTGCTTTTAGAGGAAGTGTTGGACCTGAGGAAGTGTTGGACCTGAGGAAATGTTGACCTGAGGAAATGTTGACCTGCAGGTGGCACTACATGTAAAGTAAGCTAGGGATTGCCAATGTCATTGGGATTCGTCCTCTTTGAATGACAGCTGTTATTGGAAATCTGTGTACATTGTTAAATGGTCATCCCTTGAGCCTTGCTGCAACAGAGTAGTTAAACATTTGAAGATAATAACTAATATCATACTAGAAAAACCTATGCCTTACTGACTGGCTTACCACACGTCCTTAAATGACCTTTTACACTTTAGGAAACCAGTCACACAGCAACAGGAAGAAAGACCATAACAATATGGTCACTGTTCAATTCACACAAATATCCAGGGAAAAGGTTTATCATGATTCTGCCAGCAGATTACGGGAAATGATCATCCTCATCACTTCATTTGTGCCTTTAGGAGAAAAAAAACAAAGGGTATGAGTCACACAAACAAAACAAGCACATCAACTATAAGAGGAAATCTGTGAGATTATAATCTGATACACATGAAAAACCAGACTAAGGCGACTCTTAAAAAGGCTCACCCTCGAGGATCTGATGCACTCTGATGTCTCGGACAAACTGCTGCACTGCGTAGTCTTTCAGGTAACCGTACCCACCGTGCATTTGGAGAGCATCGTTGCAGATCTGTGAAATGAATTAAAAAATGAGTTTTTTATTGAACAATTCCTCTAGTATTACTGAGTGTTACTTACATTAAAGCACTCGTCTGTGGCGAAGAGTTTGGCCATAGAGCAGAGAGAAACGGCATCAGACCGGTTCTCCTGCAGCGCTGTGGCAGCTTCACGCACCATGAGGCGGGACGCAACCAGCTTGGTGGCCATTTCTGCCAGTTTGAATTGAAGATACTGCACAAATGAACAAACACAGGGTGAAACACAGTGGCAAATTCAAGAAAAACGTGTTATCACTGGCAGGAAATGTGACCTAATTGTGGATGAGGGATCTTCTAACCTGGTTGTTGGAGAGTGTCTCTCCAAACTGCTTGCGTACTAACAGATGATCCCTCGCGAGCTGAACCGAGGCATGTGCCGCCCCAAGAGAACAGGAGGCTGTTGGAAGAGTTTATATAGAAACTGTAGATTAAGAAGCTGCTGATGGTCATGTTAAGATAACAGAAAAAAAACGTTTTTAGAGTTTGCTTCCATTTGACTATTGATTTTTTTTTTTAAAGGAATACGGTGTTATTTCCTCTTGTTAAAGTGTAATAATCTTGAATTAAAGCCAACCACCTAGAATCTCCACTTTTTTTTTAAACCTTATGCAGAACATTTGTTTTTGGACCTTTGCATTTCAAATATCAAGATGATGTCATGTTATCTAGCTATGGGTATAAATTACATATTTGGGCATCACTACACACTGGTAACTACTACTGTACTTTGATAGTGTTCTCCTCCTCACCAATATTAATTCTTCCTCCATTCAGGCCTCTCATGGCCATGTTGAATCCTTGTCCTTCTTCACCCAGCCGATTGATAACTGGAACGGCACAATCCTCAAATATCACCGCCCGGGTCGGCTGGGAGTTCCAACCCACCTGAGAGCAGAGAGTAGAACGGTTACTGTGACTTACTCCTGCCCTCTAGTGGCTACCAGCAAACACTAGCTCCAGAGCAAAATCATTAAAGTCAGCAATCAAAGGACTTTACCTTTTTTTCCTTTTTGCCAAAACTGAGGCCTGGGGTTCCTTTCTCTACCACCAGACAAGAGATGCCTTTAGGTCCTTTACCTCCTGTTCTGCACATCACAATATAGACGTCTGTGTCTCCCCCACCACTGATGAAGGCCTGAAAGTCACAGACATGTTTCTAGCTTACTGATTTTTTTTTTTAGAAAACATGTAACCATTATGAAGGCCCAAACACCAGATAGGGAATAGGCAGGTGTGGAATTACCTTCGAACCATTGACGATGTAATGGTCCCCTTTCAGCTGAGCAGTGGTCAGAAGTGAAGCAGCATCACTGCCGCTGCCTGAAGTCAAAGATCACAGGTTTATTGTGATGATGACTGACACGTTTCTAAATAACTATGTTATACTTTGTTTTTTTACATATACAATGGACTGACCTGGTTCAGTGAGACAATACGAAGCAAACTTGTCCATCAAACAGAGATCAGGACAGAACCTCTCCCTCTGCTCATTATTGCCAAAAGTGTCTATCATCCAAGCACACATGCTGCAAAGAAAACAGCTTAGATTGAATTGGGAGGCAAATACATGAAATTAATCTGGGAAAAAAGTCTAATTGATTTGTTTTGAGATTATGTAATGATTCTCAGTTCTGATAATTTGCCAAACAAAAGTGTCCTTTAAATTACAAAACTTTCTATTGAGTCAGTACATTTGGTTATTTGGACCCAACACAACCAGCCTCAAGTCAACCTTTGTCCTCCTTACATTATACACAGACAAATAAGTCAACGTTTTCTTAATTACAGGTCCAAGTAATTTATGACATAAGAGGGGGTTTTTACTTGTGGATGCTGATGTAAGCTGTAGTGCTGACACATCCTGTGGACAAGGCCTCAAAGATGATCGATGTGTCCAGCCGAGAGAGACCCGATCCTCCGACTTCCGGCTGGACGTAGATCCCACCAAACCCCAACTGGGCTGCCTTTCGCATCGTCTCTACTGGAAAGATTTCCTGGGGGGAAAAAAAATAACACCCATAAATGTTTATGTTAAATTATAACTGTGCACATTGGAAAAATAATTATCTGTTACATCATGTATTTGCATCGGATTAAACTATTGTTGGCAGTAAAAGAAAAGCTGCTGAGACATGCAGGTTCTCCACAGTCAGGTATGAGCTGAAGTAACTTTTAACAGGTGAAAAATTCCAGAAAGACAGTAATGAGAGCTCAATTTTGTCTCCATATATAAACCAGATAGTTTACAGGTGCTCAATATGGGACATTTCACCAAGAGTTTCCTGTGGGATGGTGAAGTGTTATGCCTTGACATCAGCTGACTGTATAGTATATATATAATAGACTGTATGGCTTTCTCAAACATACCTTTTGGTCCCACTCTGACATGTGTGGAGCCATTTCATTGGCCGCAAAGTCAAAGGCCATTTTTTGAAATTCCTTCTGTTCATCTGTGAGTCCATGAGAAGCTGTCAACAAAGAGCAGAGAGCATATATATACCATGGTGGTCAATATGGAAGGGAAAATATTCCATCATGCACAGATACGGGAGTATTATGTGTGGGCTTTTTGTATTACATGATAAAGGTAACATGTGTATTTTACACTTCAACTGTCGTGTATATCTTCAAGCAGCATAGGATGCAGCAATAAGTAAGCATTGGAAACTAGCAAATTCCCTGACAAGACCTGTCTAGGAGTGGGGCGGTGTAAAACTAACCAATGACAGCTAGGTACCGGTAACTGTAACATTAAAGCCCTGAATGGGATGTGTGATTTTACTTTATTGTGTTTTATTCACAGTCAATAATAAACACCAACACCGGTCTGGTAGCTAACAAAGTTCAGTGCCATTCAGGCTTTCTTTCACAATAACACACAGCTGTCCTATGACGTTAAACTAATGCTCAAAGTTTTACTTGTCTGGGACTTACGGTCGACACAAGAAGCTATTCCTCGTCTCTGTGTGCTTCTGTTAAAATATAAACGATGGTTCCTGCAGATGCTGGAGCCCAGTCTGGCAATCCTTGCTAGAGGTCCGACGGTCGCCATGTTTACCTCCACAATGTGGGATGTGTTCGTTATGTCACTCTGCCGCTGCCGCTTCTTCTTCTGGGGCTTTAAAGGCGGAAGGCATTCAGCGTATAAAGCGCAATACCGCCATCTTTGTGGTGCGGGTAACATATTCATTTAACATATTATTCCTGTTTTTCTCTGATAAAATCACATGCAATTATACTGATGCTCACATCTGCTGAGAAATATAGTTTCCTGTCGCTCGTGAAAGTGGTCATTAGTTGCTCCCTTTGAGGAACTTTGGAGGGTAAGGACTCCAAAGGACATCTATCTCTTACAACACAAACGGGAGAAGCTGGCAATAAATCAAGTGCACCAATACGTTTGTTGACGTCACGTGCTGCTGCTTTCACCGCGGGTTTTGATGGTTGACTGCTTACCTGGAACATTGCTCAGCTACAGGTATGATTTATCAGTGTTTAATCAGAGATGTTGCACTACTGACAGAGCTGCATTATAATCTGTATTACTTTCAAATGCCTGGCGCGTTTAGTTTACACGTGTTGCCAAGAGTTCTTGAAGCTAGCTAGTATCTGCCATCCATGTACGGGTGAAGTTAGTTTTACATTGGAATTCACTATGTATTCTACATTCCGAGCCCTCTTTGTTTACTGCAGGTATTCCCTTATATTAGGGTCCAGTCCACCATTAAAGTACAGTTTCAATGACACAAAACCAATATTATGTTCAATGCTTCCGTTCCAACTTGCTTATATTAGTGAACATTATGGTAATACAAATATAGTAAATGTGTCTAATATGGCACACCGTTTTTCCATTACCTACCAATAGCTTCCATGAAACCCACATATTATTACCACATTGGACAGAAAACGTTGAACTTAATGCTTCTTCTATTATATTATATAAGTTTATTTTTTTTAGGAGAGTTTGTTTTCAATACTTTCCATGTAGTGCGACTCCAGACCAATGCATGCTTATGCAAATGCAGTGCACAAGTAATACAAACCTCTTTTTATTAGGTTTTAGTGCATCTTTTATCATATCCGAAGTTTTTTAAATGGAAAACTCTTGGATATCAGCTTCGATATCATGTGATTGACTAAATTGAAGATTGAACAACACTTGAAGATTAGGATCAACCTCTGTTTACAGGATCGTTGTGTGTTTTCTACTTTAAATAATTAGTGGTTCAAAAACTTAGCAGTTGTTTTATAAGACTGTAAAAATGTAATTTATTTCAACAATGTTCCTATTAAATACAAAAGGGACCAAAATCCAATATATTAAAAAAAAAAAAAAAAAAGAGTTGTGTCCAAAGGTATTGGAAAATATAATGTAACTAATATGGGCAAGTTATCATGGAGGAACAGAAAAAAAATATTGGTTTTGTGTAATTCTAATGGTATTTTATTCATCATCCCTAAGCAAGGGGTTTAGTTGTGAGCCAACCATACTTTGAATGCTGTCACTGTGAAACTGAATACAAAGATCAGAGTATTTTTTATAACTGTCTTTAAATATCCAAACTCAATCAAACTTTACCACAGATTCCTTACATTCATACAAAACGCTATGCACAGCTATGGTATACAAATTGTAAGAATGTTAGAAAACGTGATGTTATTGTTAAGGCATATTGTATATTGTCATATCAACCCTGTTATGGACGCTGCTCTATGTTTGAAACATGTGTCTTTATAGACATTGAGAGATGCCACCAAAGACGAGGTCCAGAGTGAGTAAAAGAACAGCAGATTCAGGTAAGCAAAGGAAATGGGAGTAAAACGTATTTTCTGGTACATTCTTTTCTAATGATTGACAATTATTGCTGCAACAATAGGCAAAGTCAATGATGACGCTGACGAAATGGTTGGAGGCAAGAAGAAAGCTGCAGCTTCTGTTGAGCCGTTAAAAACTAAAGAGAGCTCAGAACCTCCGCAGTACTGTCGCTGGCTGATGAAATCTGAGCCCGAGAGCCGCTTTGAGAAGGAGATTGACCTGAAGGTACAGAGCCTCATCAGCACAGCCTGTTTTCCTAAAAATGTGAGTGGGCTGCACTCGTTTGATGCTTGTTGTTTCATCCTTCAGTTTGGGATCGAGGAACTGAAGGCTTTGCCTGATCAGACTGGCTGCTGGGACGGAGTGCGCAATTATCAGGTAAATCCACACAACTGGCTACTGCTATGAAAAGCTGTTTACCTGAAATAACACACCAATCTATAAAGTATTTTTGATTTTTTTTTTTATATATTCTTCTCTCTGTTCATGGACTTTTCCGTCATCTGCAGGCACGCAACTTTATGAGGCAGATGAAAGACGGGCAGTTGGCTTTCTTTTATCACAGCAACTGCAAGGAGCCGGGGATAGCAGGAATCATGAAAGTAAGTCACTCTCTCCCCCTGCTGATTATATTATAATGATTTAATCAAACCTACAAACATGATATTTAGCTGGATTTATTTTTTCTAGATTGTAAAGGAAGCTTATGTGGACCACACTCAGTTTGACAAGAAAGATATCCATTTTGATGCTAACAGTAAAGCAGACAACCCCAAATGGAGCATGGTAAACCCCCATTTAAGAAGAAAAAAATATATACATTCATAAAATAATTGAACATAAAGGTTAACCTTGTTTTCTTCTCTTTTAGGTAGACGTCCAATATCAAAGAATGGTAAAGCGTTATATTCCTCTGTCTGAGCTGAAGAAGTACCACCTGCAGCACCGAGCCAAAGGTGGGCCTCTGAAGGACATGGGACTTTTCACCAGAGCCAGGCTCTCTGTGCAGCCCCTAACCACTGGTAAGTGAACGCATCTTTCAGTGTGCATTGGGCTGCTTATGAACCCTCATTCTGCTTTTTCTCTGCAGAGGAGTTTGAGTTTATCCTGACTTTGGAGGATAAGGAGCCTTTGTGAGGATTTGAACCAGATGATGTGAGGATGCAGTGAAATCATGAAGCAGCATAAACATACATCTCTTTTGTTCTGAAGTAATAAATGTGTTGTCAAATGATGGCTATTATCCAGATTGTACCTATACCTCTGGGTGATACTTGCTTAGACACAGCATACAAAGCCTTAGAATTGATAGAAAACAACTGCAGTATATAAGCTTGTAATGTTTTTTAGGGTTGCCCTTTGCTCACAGAAGGGGTCCGAGCCTTCTTTTATTGCCATTATTCAATTTGTGTATAGAAGCAACGTTTTATTTCACAGTCTGCACTATGGTCCATCATTTTGCACCCTGTCTGTTAAGGTTTATCATGTCGCCAACACTTAAATTCCTGGAAAACAACAAAGTCTGAGATCTGTTTTTTCTTCCATTTGGCATCAGTTTATTTCACTTCAGGGACAAGGAATACTTGATTAGCATTTAGCAAAAGATAGATAGTTCTACTGTAACTCTTTCTCTGGTTAAAAGACTAAACGTATGTTAAAGAGGCAGGAGGATTTCATTTGCTTGGTACACTTAGGCACAACTTTCAAGTCTAATGAAGATGTTACAGAGGATTTCATACTATCAGACCTTAATACAAACACTCTTTCCTAACACCACTGGAATGCTGATGCAAAGCACATGAACATGAATGGTCACTCTGTGGCATCCTGTAATGTATAATCAAAGTACACAAGCTGGAACAGGATAAAAGGTTTTAGCTAGTCATATTTACAAATCAAAACAAGACAAATGTGTTCAGCAAGATAAAGCAGTGCAAAGTTATCTCAGATTTCTTGACCTTATAACAGTGTTAGGAATGCATTTATTAAAGGTGGAATGTTGGAGATACATTTCAGAAAATGCATGAAAAATTCAGTTGCATTGATTAAGAGATTAGAAATTAGTTTACTCCAAAAAAGCATTATTTAAAGAAACGGACAGCTTAAAAATTCCATAATATCACGTGAAAGGTTTTAACACAGTGGATATTGCAACAGATGATTAGTTTGATTCCCATTAAAGAAAAGAAAATGCATTATTGAAGGACAAGACCAGCAGCCTGAAGCTGCTTCAAATGCCTCATGCAAACTGTTTCATTGTTCACATACTGCATGTATTACTGCATGTCGGTCTCCCTTCTTCCTCCCTTCACCAGCAGCGGCTACTAATAAAACGGCTGCTTCACCAGGTGTAGTATAGTTGACGGTAACCTCCGAGTCTAGTGGACGAAGACTGGAGGTCTGCGGCCACCTACCCGCTCTCCTCCCTCGCAGCCTGCTCCAGAGCGCTCTCCGAGGCGGCCGAGCCCTCGAACCTCTGAGAGGCGATGGCTGCCTGATGGGACATGCTCTTCCTCACCACGTCACCCTTCCTCCACAGTGTGATTTCCTGCATAGGTAAGGGAGGGGGGGGGGGAGAGAGAGATGTTTTTCAGTTAATATTAATTTATTTCAATGTTTACTGACTCCTTATCCATAGAAAGGTAAAAACCATGTCAGTAATCTTCGTGTTGCTCTCATCAGTGATGTCACTTTATTTTATCATCATATTATTTATATTTGTCTATCTACTGTCAACACACATGCCATTATTAACTAGAGTGGATTACTGTTATCTGTTGTCTAGTCAGTGTTGTATATTTAAAACAATTTAATTGATCTATTAAACTTTTTGTGATTTGCTATACAAATACATGAAATAAATAATACATTTAATGTATAGCTAAATGAAATGCTATACTGACTACGATTGTGTGTAAACAAAAAATAAGATAACAATTTTAAAGCAAAACAAATAAGTAGCACTTCTTCACAGCTAAAATGAATTCTTTAAAATTGCTACTTTACTCCAAGCAACAGACCAAAACTAACATATTTCATTTAAAACAAAATAAAACAGAACAGCAGCAGGAACTAGAAATGTTTCTCTTTGGCTTGACAAACAACCCAAATGACACATGTTTGACAATCAATTTACGGTTTTCGCAACTATTACTGTTTTTGCAGTAAGTATACAAACATCTACCTGTTGTGCTATTTTATGCAGACAGAACGTGATACATTTAATGTGCTGACAGACATTAATCAAACTTCATAAAGAGAAGCTGTTCTCAAGATTCAATGTGTCCTCTTTATGTAGCTGAGATCTAATCCTAAATGTTTTTCCAAACAACCTAATACTCAGACTACATACTCAGCTTCTTACAAGTAGTATGTACAGCAGTATAATTGGGACACAGCTAGTATTTTCCAAGAATGTTTTTTATATTCTTTAGAAGTATAGGCATTAGTGAGATTATTATGAAACATCAGAAACCTACCTGCTGTTTGAAGTAGCGTCTCTCCTCCTCGTCGATCAGCACCAGGTTCAGGTAGTAGCGCACAGAGAACTTCTTGTTGATGTCTCGCATCGTGGGAGTCAGATCATAACCAGCCAGAAATAACCGGATGGGAATGGACTCTCCTGAAATATGAAATACATTGTTAGAGGTTGGATAATATGAATATTCACTTTAGTAAAATAACTCAAATTACTAATAACTGCCGTTTACCCCTGACCGGAGCACCGTCCATGATCTCGTATTTGGCGATGGTGTCGTTCTCGTGGTACACACTGGGGCCAGTGCCTGTTGTCTCACGCTTGATGATGTCAATCTCCATGTGCTTAATCTTAATCCTCACCAGCAGGAAATAGATCTTCCCCACAATTACATCTTTCAGATGGTACCTACAGTAGGGGTCAAAAGAAGACACAAGCAGAAATTAAAATGAGGGCGCTTAATAACAAGTTGTTTAGTAACTGCGTACTAATGTTTGCTTTAAACACTTGGCCTCTGGAACTTGCAATCTGCTAAAAGTTTATAGACAAAGCGAATAGTTAATTAAATATATTAGGAATAATGAAAATAATAGTTAGTTGCAGCCCTAAACTCCATGACTGATGTGGTTATACACTCTCTGAAACACACTAAACCACTATTGTACACTCTTACACTTGTGTTTGCTGAAAGCCATTTAGGAACACTGTGTTTATTTTGTCTTCCGAGTGTGGGATTATTTTCTGAACTGAATTTGCAATGATTTCAAACTTTGGGTTTAAAAATGTTCTTTCTAGAAAAGACACTTAACATAAACAAAAATGTTAAAACTTAAAAGTCGGTTCATGTAAATAAATGGCAACAGATTATTCAGTAATGGTGTGTTTCATCCCTATAATTCTTACTTGGATTTGTTGTACTCAAACTCAATGTGCAGACAGTCCTCAATGCCAACTTCCATTTTAATGGAGGAGTTGAGTTCAGGGTAGGTGCTCAGTGTGTGGACCACAATGTCCATCTCTTTACTGATGTCATTTAGTCGTCTGGTCACCGTGGCACGAAGAAAATATCTGAAAATGGAAAACACAGAGCCTTTAAACAATACTGTTCCACATATAACCAATCATTTAACACCAGGTGTTAGTTAAAATGCTCTGTTTGCATATGAAAGGTTAGAGAGTGACACTTACAATAATCTATTACACAGCCTATAAACCAGAGTCAATCATCAAACACACCTTAGTTTGACGTTCTGGCCTGTGTAGGACTCGTACGGTTTTTCCACATGAGTGAACTCAAAGTCGAAGGTTTGCGATTGAGTTATTTCACCCGGTCTTGCAAGATCTTTCACCAGGGAAACAAACTCATGATGGTTTCCTCTGTCGTAATACAGCTCTAGAACAGAAAGAAGTTATCAACAAACACAATATAAGATAAACAAACTTTAAGATTCATTTACCCCTTACATTGGAAACTTTCAAAAGGCTCAGATGTTGTAATAAGAGTTTTGGGCAGATATGATATAATATAATATAATGGGCCATTTTGTCTTTCTATCTTAATGTTATGTTTGCTGTGATCCTTGCATCCATCAACAGTTTGAGATTAAACTTCAATATCACCTTCATTTTTTGTTGCACTTTAAGTTATTTATTGGCCCCTATCTATAATGTTCTATTGCTTGGAGATATTGTTGGGAGGGTGTTGCTATATTTCTGTCACAGTCATGGCAAAGGTCCAAGGATAATATATTGATGATGCCAGAGAGGGCCTGGCCCCAGCTTCTGCCTCTCATACCAGTCTCCAGTCTTAAGAATACGCGTGCAACATTTGTAACACGGTTTTTAAACATAACCCATTGATTTTTCTAGCTATTCTGTTATCTGAACAATACAATAAGAGTTTACACAAGTTGGTAGCATATACATATGGCTTGCGTTTAACAAAAAAATGTGGTTAGAACAGTCTTCTGGAAATATTTTCAGTAAAGTGGTAGTTGTAATTAAAATACGTTCCCCATGTTTTAACTTTGTGTTAGCCTTTATCTTTTTGGGGGAGATTCGGATGCTAAGCTCTGTGACTCTAATGTTATGATGATTGACAACTTGATAAACACACCTCTTAACAACATCTTAAAGTTAGCTAACCCTATTACACAGAAACAGTTCATTTTTATAACTACATATGCATAAAGAGATAAGCAATGTGTATTCATATTTATTTTAAATGCTGTTCAGTTTCCACTCCCCATAACAATGTGTACTCTCCCTACTTCCTAATCTAAATGCTTTTTATATTTATATTCCATAACATGGGTGTTGCCACAGGATTGACTGTGTTGTTTACATGAACTGTATGAAATCATTGGTAAAAATATGTATACAAATATCTTAGTTTTTTTTAACCTACCTATTTGGCCAACAAATTCAATTTTGATGCCCTGGTGCTCCAGCCTCTTTCCGGGGTTCTTCAGTGTCACATTCACCTTTCCACTGACAGTCTCGCCATCATAGAAAAGAAAGTATTTATCTTTCTTTCCATCTTCACTTTTGTGTTCAGCTTTCTTCCGCGTTTCAGCGTCATTCAGGACAACATCTATTTCTGCACTTTGCCCAAAACTAAAGAAACTCATCTTGCTTATCGTAACGCCTTGTTAGCAAACTAATACAAAAACCCTTGCAATGTTTTGAACTAGAAAAACACCAAACACACAATAAGGCCTGTGTGCGACCTCAGTTCCCTATCGGAGCACAACACACACTATTCAACATGGAAAAAGTCGACGATATTTGACAGAAAACTCAACATTAGCTACATGTCCATACCGACGAAGCAAAATAGCAATACGACGGCACAAGGAAAACGCACAATAACACGTCCATCAGCAAATTAGCAGCTTCCCTTTTTCTTCTGTTGACCTGAATATCTTGAACGGTCCACACAGGCCACACACTAGTCTGCTCCGTAGTGATGGCAAGTTTCGCTGTGTGAATGTTATATTACATGTTTGTTTTCTGTAAGAAAAGACGTTGAATGTTGT